GGACATCCAATTTTTCTACTACTTCATCAAATCTGAAAACAATCCAAGAGAAGACCCTCTTCTTCTATGGTTAGATGGAGGACCTGGATGTTCTTCTCTCGGTGGCCTTCTTTTTGAGAATGGTAAATCTATAATATTTATTCTTTAGCTAAGCATTATTTTCAATGAGTTGTTTTAAGTGAGGAAAATAAATTTTTAGGACCGGTGGCTTTGAAGTCAGCGGTTTATAATGGAAGTACCCCTTCTTTGTTCTCTACTACATATTCATGGACAAAGGTAGCATTAAGTATATATATGTTCATATTAGATCACAAACCCCAATAATCTATTCTTGATCATTTAAAATTTTGGATTTTTTTCTCAGATGGCAAACATAATATACTTGGATCAGCCTGTTGGATCTGGTTTCTCCTACTCAAGAACTCCAATTGAAAAAACTAGTGACACAAGTGAAGTTAAGAGGATCCATGAGTTTCTTCAAAAGGTAATAAGACAAGATTAGGTGTATCTTTAAAGCTCTTGTGTATGTTGTAATTCTCGTAATGTAAAGTTATTGATTAATATTGAAAAAAAGAAAATGGACTCTAGGATATCGATCTTGATGAGATGTAGGACTTAATCACACCGATTAGCCGAACTCATTATGCTCATCAACTAAAACATAACCATTTTTTTTTGCGCAGTGGCTTAGCAAACATCCACAGTTTTTCTCCAACCCTTTTTACGTCACGGGAGATTCTTATTCCGGTATGATTGTTCCGGCACTCGTTCAAGAGATCTCAAAAGGTATGTTGTTTTATCAAATCAAAAGGTATATTATTTTTATTAGAATATGGGCTTCCAACTCAAAAACAATTGAGTGGATTGACCGACATCTTATATATACTGTCAAGATTCTTGTCCAACTTTCGATTTGAGATATTGTTATCCCTAATACGTCCCCTCGAAATGATGGTTCTATAATCACTGATCTCAGTATTTTAGACAAGGATCGGTGGACCAATTTTGGGTCTGACCGATTGTAGATCGGGCTGCACAATGTGCAGATCGGACTCTGATACCATATTAGAATATGCGCCTCCAATTCAAAACCAATTGGCAATAAGTGGATTGACTCATATCTTATATATACTGTCAGGATTCTTGTCCAACTTCCGATGTGGGATATTGTTTTCATTAATAGTGTTCTCATACACATTTCTTCGAAAATCGTTTAGCTGATATCCTATCACTTTTTAACAATATCGACATTATGATGCAGGAAATTATATATGTTGCAAACCTCTTATAAATCTACAGGTCATTGATTATATTATCATTTCTTATATTTTGTATATATGTTCAAAGTACTAACACTAATGATTCATACTTATAACTTCCTCCATTTTTATTACCAAAAACAGGGTTACGTGCTCGGAAACCCCATAACATATGCTGAACATGAAAAAAACTATCGTATTCCGTTTGCTCATGGAATGTCATTAATTTCTGATGAACTCTACGAGGTATATATTTTTATCCGTTACAATCTGGATTTAAATTTGTCATTTTTGAAGCCTCAAATGATATAACAATGTTAAAAACAATTGCAGTCATTGAAGAGAACCTGCAAAGGAAATTATGAAAATGTGGATCCACGTAACACAAAGTGTTTGAAACTTGTTGAAGAATACCATAAGGTACACACTCTTAAATTTGGTCCATGTTTGTTTTCCCTTGGTAATAAATATCATCTCTAATTCAGATTTTTGTTTTGTTTTGTTTATGTACAGTGCACTGACAAAATAAATACACAACATATATTAATACCAGATTGCGATAAAAAAGGGCATGGAATAACATCTCCTGATTGCTATGTAAGTATTATATCTTTCCTCCATGGAATAACATCTCTTGTCTAGGCCTGGTCATTCGGTTAACCGTTCGGTTCGGTTCGGTTGCGTTTGGTTTCGGTTAGTTCGGATATGGTAATATAATAACTATCGGATATTTTAGGAATTTCGGTTCGGATCGATTTGGTTACTTTTCGGTTGGTTCGATTCAGATATTTGAATAGATTACCGTAACTAACCAAAATTGTATCAGGTTCGGTTTGGTTTGGTTTGATTTTTTACCCAAAATAACCGAAATTAACGGAATATAACTGAAACTAACTGAAAAAAATACAAAGAAAAACAAATATTAGAAGGAAAATTAAAATTTGGTTCAATTTTGTGGACAAATATAACTAACAACATTTGGATATTTTTATTATTTAAAGTATTTGATTGTTTTGATTTTAAAAATAATTAATATTTTAAGTTTATAATTATAGTTTTAGGTATTATTTTTGGATATTTTCTAGATTTTTAGATATTTCGGTTAACTTTTAGTTATCGGTTTGGTTTCCGTTAGTTTGGATAGAAAATTTTACTAACTATTCGGTTATTTAAAAAACTTCAGTTTGGATACGGTTCGGATTTTTTTGGTTCGGTTCGGTTGGTTATTCGATTACCAATTTTGTTGCCCAAACCTTCCTCCTGATTTATTTTATTTAAGTAAAAACGTCTTAAAAGTTGGGATCCCATTCATTTATTCTACCTTTAGCGGTTAATAGTTAAACCGATAGAGGAAAATATAGTAATATTCAAATAAAAACTTTTAGAGAAAAATTTACACAATATGTATGATCAAAAATTTTGACAAATTTTCTAATTAGTTTTAAATCAAAGTACCTACAGATTTACATGCTTTTTAACTATAAAGCTAAGAACTTAATAAAAATGGATTATCCATTATGTAAAATTATTTATAGACAAATCCTTATACAAGGTTGCTTTTGCAGTATTATCTGTATTTTCTCATTGAATGTTGGGCCAACAACGAGAGAGTTCGTGAAGCTCTTCATGTTAGAAAGGTATATGCTAACTTGGTTTAAGATCTTTTAAAAAAACAGAGGTTTAAGGTTATTAACTATCTACAATTACAGGGAACTAAAGGACAATGGCAGCGATGTAATTGGACAATTTCATACGATAACAACATTATAAGCAGCGTACCATATCATATGAATAACAGCATCAGTGGATACCGATCTCTTATTTATAGGTTTGTGTTAATATTATGTTTTAAGAGAACATTACTTATTTGGGTGAACACAAAAAAAAAAAAAAAAAATTACTTATTTAAAATTTAACCAAAAAAGTTCATTACTTTTAAAACCTAATCTTGTTCCCTATACAACTACAAACAGGATTAATCAAGAAAAAATATTTATAACCAGAGATATCGAACAAAACGAAATTAAATGAAACAGAATTATGTATACAAAACGATTTATTGTATGGTTTATGGTGAACAGTGGTGATCATGACATCACAATGCCTTTCCAAGCAACTCAAGCATGGATAAAATCTCTAAATTACTCCATCATTCATGATTGGAGGCCTTGGATGATAAAGGATCAAATCGCTGGGTATATACATTCTTTCTTGTTTTAGCTTTCTTTTGTTCATTCATTTTCTTATCAAAGTCCTGTATAAATCATTCTTGCCTTTGTTTTCTTGGCAGATACACGAGAACTTATTCCAATAAGATGACATTTGCTACTATCAAAGCAAGTCTTATTATTTCAATTTTCAACTTAACATTATTTTCTGTCATTTCATCATAACAATGAAAGTGTATTAATATTTTTGACTGTTTGGATTATAGGGAGGTGGACACACTGCAGAATATCTACCAAACGAGACCTTTATCATGTTCCAAAGGTGGATCAGTGGCCAACCTTTGTAATAATAGAGGCTCATTGCCTGTACGAATTACGTAGATTAATATTCACACTACTCGCAATTTTTGTTTTGAAATGTTTACAGAAAATTGAACTAAATTTGTTCTTATTTGTTATGTTCCTAAACTTTTATTTTGTTATTTGTTATGTTACTTACATTTTCTTGTGTTATTCATGTAATGTTAAATTTCTGTGTGTTGTGTGTTTTACTTTTAACTAGGATTCAACCCGCGGTAAACCGCGGGTGTTGGTTTTTATCTCGGTTTGCGTTTTATATATTTAACAATGTATAAGTGATTATTTTAACACACAGTGTTAGGTATATGTTTTTTGTGGTTGATTAATTATTAGTTAGGAGTAGCCATTTTAAGTTGGTATGATAAAAGTGTTAAAACTTACGTGTATTTTTTGTGTTAAATTATGAGTCTATAGTAAAAGTATTGAACAAATGTTAAAAATAAAAGTTGAAATGTTTGATATTTGTAATTGTTGTAATAGTGTAAAAAATTGCATTGATTTTGTTAATAAACAACCAATGGTGTAATAAAATCATGATACAGTTTCTAGGGAAAGATTTGGAGCCATCTTTGCATCTGATAATATATCTGAGTCGAAATACTTACTCTGCCTCACAAAGAACTACCTCAAGATTTTTAAACTTTGTTAAGATATGGCTTACATTGCAAAAACAAACTGGAACATTGATACATGAATTCAAAGTCTCAAAAATCTGCAACTACTCAAAGTCTCAACATCCATCTTCATTATCCTTAATTTAATGGAAGAAGGTATGCTTCATATTCTTAAACCAAACCTTGCAGAAACCTGCAATTTCTCAAATCAAAACCTGCAATTTATAACTCAAAAAATCAAAAACTGCAATTTTTCAAACCAAAATCTGCAAATTCATTCACCAAAACCTACAATTAATAATTAGGAAACCAAAACCTGCAATTTCTCAAACCAAACCTTCAACTTAAAAACCAAAACTTGTAACTTAACAACCAAATTCTGCAAATTAATTCACCAAAATTTTTAATCTATAGCTTAGACAAACCAAACATGCAACTTAGACAATAAAAATCTCCATGTTGCTCAAAAAAAAAAAAAAAAAAAAAGACAATAAAAATCTCCAAATTAATTAATCAAAACTTGCAACTTAGACAACCAAAACCTAAAAAACATAACTACATATAATAAAACAATAAGAGGATGATGTGATATAGATTGGTTCAAGAACATAAGTAACAAAAAGAATTCAAACTCATAAAAAATAAGTATTCAACAAAACTGAACACATAAAACGTGTTCATATACTTGAGCCTATACTTATGTGGAGAGATAAAAAAAGGGGGACTCAAATGTTCATATACTTGAACTCATACTTTGCTGAAATTTGACTAACCTTGCCCATAATCACTTTCTCTTAGTCAATCCGTTTCTTCTCTTCTGCATTATTCGAATTTTCTTTTCTTTTTATCATCCAACATCTATTTGAAGAGCTCACGTTGTTGTTTCTCCAGAATTGGCTCACATGCCTTGACCACCACTGGCTCCGCAACCATTGTGGAAGACGCAGTCTTTTCCACAATAATAGGAGCTGCAACTAAACCATATTTAGCAGCTGTCTTTTCGTTTACAAACTCTATGTCTTCTTTCTTAATGTTAAAAAAAAGATAACCTGCAAACGAATAAGGCAAAGAACCATCAGTATTTGAGATAAAAAATCTCTGTGAAACTCCTCTACACTTCTTTAGCTGCAGTATTAAACCACTAAAGCATAAATTTTTTTATCAAACTAAACCATATAAAAGCAAGCTAATCACTCCTTAATCGCAATCTTTAACCAAAAAAAGCACAGCTTTATTACACAAATCCCTAATTTTGGTTGGAACTGACCTGTACATCTAGAGCATTAACATCGAGATGATCTGAAATTAAGAATCGGAACCGAGATGATTTGAGATTAGTACCTGATCCAAGAATTCGATTCACCGGAAAACCAGAGAGTTTCCAAGCAACATAAGTCAAAACATCGACATGATAAGAAACAATGATCAAGATAGAATCAGGAGAAGCTTTAGCGAGTCAAGGAAAGATACCCACATGACATGGTACCTTCCCGCAGCTGGAGAAAACTCCTACAGTCATATAACAATCACAAAGTAAAGTTAAATGAGGAAACTCTTCTACCATTGATTGACAATGAAGCGATAAGGAAGCACAAAGAAGAAAAAACTCATAATCAATGAAAAGGAAAACATGATAATCCAAATTCAAAAATAATAATTGTCTAACAAATGATCAAACTTCTTCTAAGCACATAACCAATAAAAACCGACTTGTAATAAGAACTAAAGCTACTTGCGCAAAAGAAGAACCACACCAACAACAACAAAAGAAATCAAATATTAGTTATACCACCTTCATCCATCTAATTCGTAACTCTAAACAATGAAGCTAAATACAACGTTTATAAGAAATAAATCCTATATGGATAATTAATCAGACATAACAAAAAAACTTATTGTTTTCTTATAGAATCTCACAACCATAAGAAAAATACTACGATTGAGTTGCTAAGCTAAGAGGAATTTGAGTGATGAATTGGAAATGAGAATGACGTTGATATTTATAGCGCTGAATGATGCTAGGGTTTTTGGCTCCAATATTTTAAAAATCTAGAAAAATATCTTGGAGAAAAAGCATAAAATCAAAGATACTATTCACAATATATGTTCGAATTTGGAATTAAACTTTCAAAAAGAGAACTATTTACCAGGTCTTATGGTTTTAGGCATTTATGGGCCTGAGAAAAAGACATATTTGCCCTTGTTTCTGCATCTTTTTTTTCGTTCTTCTCCTCCGACAACTGACATATGAACAACAAATCCTAACTTTCGATTCCTCTCCCAACCACAACCCTTGCTTTCCTAGCCAACACCATCTCCGATGAGTTCTACGAATTCAGTTAACTTTGTTTTCAATTAAGGAAACTAAACCCTAAGGGGAAACTACTAAACCCAAAGGCTCCAATTAAAAGAAAAGTGTGATGGATCGGCGGTTTGAGTAGAGAGTGGCGACCCATCACCGATAAAAGACCATGTCAGACTTGGAGGAAGATTTGGCTTTCCTTGATTTTTCCAATCAAGAATCTAAGAGAGATAACGACGAGAAGATTGTAAAAATTAGGATTTTGGTTTCCATTGTTTAGATCTCTTATGAGATTTTTGTGATTGAAGAAAAGCTTAAAAAATTTCGTTCGAATTTGTGTCTGTATAAGAGATACTGACTTATGCGAGAGAGAGAGAGAATAGAGAGCTGCAGTTTGGGAGAGAAGAAACAAGAATATTGAGGGTAAATTCGTCTTTTCCCTCTCACTAAAAGTACTTAGATCAGTAAGTCTTGGTAAACGTTCCGTTTTCAACAATTTTCATCGAAAATAATGCCCATTTCCGTAATTTATTCTTTAACATATTTAGTAACAAAATGTAAACATTTTGGGCCATGAAAACTTTGTACCAGCCACTGGTGGGGATCGATTTTAAAATTTTGTGGAAAGTGTAATGATTATATGAATACAAACCAATGTACTAACGTGGAAGTCTTTTAGTCACGTGATTGACCAATGTATTTGTTTTTTTTTTTCCTTTTTAGTCACGTTGTTTGAACCTTTGTTTGAAAAATCGCTAGGCGCTAGTCGGGCGTTCAGCATGGGCCTAGCGATTAATCGGAAAATCAGATTAAAATCGGGGATTAATCGGGGATTAGTTTTAGGGTTATTTTAATATTTTTAAAATATATTAATCCAATATTATAAAAATTTATGATTTTTATTACAAATTTATGATTTTTATTAAAATTTGAACACACGTTATTGTAAAACATCACAAACTCCCCATTCAAATGATTGAATAACAAAAATGAAAGGTTTTTTTTATACTTGCAATCTAAAAAATAATCGGGGTATATAAGATAAGGTGGAAAATAATCGGATTAGGCGGGAAGTAATCGGATTAGGCGGAGAATAATCGGGTTACTGATTTTTTAGGGGATTAGTCATTAATCGAGGCGGATAGGGTGGGCCTAGCGATTAAGCGGAGAGTAATCGGGGCTAGGCGGGGATTTTTAGAATAACAATGATTTTTAGTGGCTCCAATTAAAATAAATCTGTGCAATTTTTTTAATTGTAAACTGGAACAGTAAATTTTTACGGAATAATGTAAAGCTGTACAAAACAGATACATGAAAGTTATACAAAAAACTGACAGTAACATTTTTAGTAAAACTTTTAATATTACTTTTGTGATTAGTAACTATTAAATTGAAGTTGTATGGGGTTACCATTTAAACCCAATACTCTTACACCAAGTTTTGGTCAAAACTTATCAGTATTTAGAATACTGCAGATAACACTATCCGCAAGTTGTGTATAATGTAGGAAAATCATTATTAATAGATAGAAATGTCAAAACGAACCAAGCTATGCTCGAAGGGTCGATCCTAGCCAAGCCAACCATACAGCAGATGTGGATATAAATATTAAGTCTGTTTAGAAGCGTGTCTCGTGGGTAAATTCAGGCAGCCCACCGGCTAGCGGGTCGACATGCGTGTTACAAATATTTAATAAAAATTTATATATCATATAAAGAAATAAATATTTTATAAAGAACTTTAATTTATATAAATTCTAATATTTATGAAATAATTATATTAAAAGTTATATTAATTTGAAAAATTATTAGTTTAAGTTTTAAGGAAAAATTTTTATCTTTTAATTATTTCAAAAATATAAAAATTAAATCCGCCGGCCGGTCCAGTAACCCCTAGAGCGGGCTTGGACATATTTTTTTGCCCGCAGTCCTAATAGGCTAATTCGTCGTGGTCCAACAAAAAATAATGCCCATCACAGGCCGGTTCAGATAGATGCGGACCAGCCTGTTTGACATATGATAGGTTTATATATGTAGCGATAGAGGAAAGAAAAAACAAAGTATTGATTGTACATTTAAATTTTAGAGGAGCAGGCAAAGCAAATTAATTTTAAACTAGGTTCTAACACGCGGTAATCGCGGGTGAATAATATTGTTACAATTTTTGTAAAACTTGAGTTGCATAGGAGGATCTTTAATATATTTTTAGAATTTGTTTTTAGTTTTTATTTATATTTACTTTGTATAATGTTATTTGATAGTGTTTGTGTATTGTATGTCTCTTGTTTTTGTTTCCGAAGGTTTTGTTTGTGACTTTGTTTGTGATTTATATTAATTATAGGACGAGGTTATATGTCGTCGGTTTGGATTTATAATAGAGGATTATGATTCAGATTTTATAATTAAACGAAATTATATGTCGGTTTAAGTTTATAAAAAAGGGGTTAGGGTTTGGATTTGACAATTAAATGTGGATAAAAGATTGTTTTGGTTTTATAAAAGAGTGATTATGGATTAAATTTTATAATCCAATGAGTTTAATTTTTTTATTAGGTGTCAAGATTATGAATTAGATAAATATATAGGTGGTGAAATCCTTAAGCCCTTTTATTTGGTTTTTAATTTAGTTTTCGTAATTTTGATTCATTTGTGATTACAATTATACCTTTAATGAGTTTATTGAAAAAAATTTCACTAGAGACGACCAATTGCATTGTGACATAATTTTTAACAACTTTTAAGTTAGTTTTTCTATTTTAGGCTTCTCAACTAGTAGTATTAGTAGTAGTAGGATATTTTTATATTGTCTAAACCAACTCAATTATTTATCGACCGAAGAGGGCCTACTGAACGTGGAGCGACTACTGAATTAGCAAAAACACTAGAAATATAACAAATATTTGGTATATAAAAACCATTTGTCTTTGCTAAAAGAACTTAAATCATTAGAAACAAAAAGAGAATGAGTTTGACACTACAGTTTCTGCTTCTTCTTCTACTTGTCTTGAGTCATGTTGATTCTGGTTCTACTTCTATCGTCAAGTTTCTTCCTGGTTTTGAAGGCCCTCTTCCTTTCGAACTCGAAACCGGGTTTGTAAAAAGCTAAGTCTCTTCCTTTTTACCATTATGAGTTGTGAGTATGGAGTTAACAACTAGCCATTCTTATTAATGAAGGTACATTGGTATTGGTGAAGATGAGAATGTGCAATTTTTCTACTATTTCATCAAATCTGAGAAGAACCTGGAAGAAGATCCTCTTCTTATATGGTTAAATGGTGGACCTGGATGTTCTTGTCTCAGTGGCCTTTTTTTTGAGAACGGTAAACCTATAATATTTCTTCTTTCAGTAAGCATTATTTTCACTGATTTGTTTAAAGTGGTAAACATAAAAAAACAAATAGGACCTTTGGCTTTGAAGAACGAGGTTTACAATGGCACTGTCCCTTCTTTGGTCTCTACTACATATTCATGGACAAAGGTAGCATAAAGTATTTATCTTCATATTGGATCACAAAGTTCTTGATCTTTTAAAGTTTTGGATCATATTCTCAGACGGCAAACATAATATACTTGGATCAGCCTGTTGGATCTGGCTTCTCTTACTCAAGAATTCCAATTGAAAAAACTAGTGACACAAGTGAAGTTAAGAGGATCCATGAGTTTCTTCAAAAGGTAATAAAACAAACTTAACTGTCTTTTTAAAGCATTTCTCATGGGGCCTCTAAGCTCATGTACTTAAACGATAATCAACCACTGTGAATTCCGTATGTCTACTAGACAATGTCTAGTGAGATTGACAGATTTATTAATTTGATTCTAATAAATTGCTTTCCGTAAACCAGAGTGGATTAATTTATTAAGTGATGTTTTAGGAGAATGCACATAGATTAAGAAATCATTTAATTTTTGTTTATTTCTAAATTAAAACATCATTTATTATCTAATCAACCAATTAAAACATAATTTACATGATATAAATCGTCAAAACCAATAAAAAAAATTAATTTTGCATTCAAAATTGAAAATTAAAAACATCATCTATTTAAGAACAAAATTAGAAGCTTAAAACATCACTTATAAAAAAACGGAGAGAGTATTAACCTGCCTAATCAACATTAATTTTGTTTGATCCTTACTTATTCTGTTTAGGATTTAGGGTGATATTTATGGAATTTTCTAAATATTGTGCAAATTTTGGAAAAAAAAAAAACATTTTACGGAGGTATTTTTGTCAATTTCCATTTATTATTTTCCATTAAATGTTTTATTTTTGGACAATAGTATATTCCATTATATTAATCATACGACCCTTGTAGTCGGGATAAGGTTCATTCATTTGTTTATTATCATAAATCTCCACAATTAATATGTAGACAATAACAATAAATAACGTGTGTAAGGAGAAACATGGAGTAGAGATCATTAAGTAGTATAAGACCATAATAAAATGAATCTCAGGGAATAACATCTAAAATACCTTATTTCATTCGTTATTCTTCAAGAGCCATATAAATTTTAAAGTTAAAAAAAACTTAAGATAAAGAGTAAAAGTAATGACATGTACGAGTACTACTAATTTGGTGTTTGGATATTCGTACAGATCTCAAAATATTTTTTTTCCGTTAAAATCAGTGTTCTAAAATACGATATACACTAGGCGTACGGCGGAACACCGTATAGCGTATAGACGTATATACGGCCGTTTATGCAGGGACTATACGGTGAATAATATATATATAATTTGTCAAAATATATATATATATATATATATATATATATAATTTGTCAAAATATTCAATATAGTTAAAAAATTATAATAATAATAATAAACATAAATATAGTAACATGATGAATACTATACATGAATACAAAAAATAATAAAATTTTAACTTTACAAAATATTTAAAATTGTAAATAACTAGTAAGCATAAAAATAATAGAAAAGAATGACAATAAATTTATTTTTAAGTTAATTATTATGATTAATTTTTGAAAGCCAAACTAAATATTTTTGTTAAATCATTTTCCAAACATTAATAAAATGACAGTTTTTATTTTTGAGCATTAAAAAAAAGCGTCGTATATGCGGAATTCACCGTATAATCGTCGTATATACTGACCGTATAGCTTTCACCATATTAAACAAATGTATAGCCATAATACAGTACGGCTTTCCACCGTACAACGTATACACGGCCTACAGATTGTATTTTAGAACATTGGTTTAAATTAATAAGCGATATAACTTATTTTAACTATTTAAGTGAATTGTTCGAATTTTAACACATTTAATATTATTATCCATATAATTCAACGTGCATCTTGATAAAAAAAAACTTATAGCAGACTTAACCACTCTAGTTTACCGAACTTGTTAAAACTTAAAACCATCCCGTCTCTTATATGTTTTGGAATGTTATTGGTTTCTAATTTATATGAAATTTTGATAAATTTAATAAAATCATATAAAACTCTATTTAAAATTCTATATAAATTAGATTGAATAACAACAGATTCTACATAACATTTAAATGTACTAAAACTCTATTTAAATCACAAACTAATAACACACCCTAAGTCTAACACATTAATTCTGAATTTTTATTTAAACGAAAAATAACACAGTTTAGGAGTTTATTAGTATTCTACGAGCTTATAAGCTCATCAATTAATCAAAACAGGGATTATTGCTGATTTTGTCATTTTGTCATCCAAATCTTTTGGATTTATCATATTGATTCAATATGTTAGATTTGCCATTTTGGTCACTTTAAAAACTATACATTTGTAAATTTGTTTTATAAAATGCATACTTAACAACAAACACTAAATCTTAAAATAAATTGAAACAAGAAAAAATAAACATAATAAATTAATACGTCAAATTGTGTTTTTAGATAGAGAAAAATAGTAAATCTAAAATATTTAAGACAAAATAGCAAAATCCACAAATACCACTAAAAGAGACGTTTTCCTAAATATTTTATTAAACAGAACATCTAAAGCTTTTTGTTTTGCAGTGGCTAAGCAAGCATCCACAGTTTTTCTCCAACCCTTTTTACGTTGTAGGAGATTCTTATTCGGGCATGATTGTTCCGGCCCTCGTTCAAGAAATCTCAAATGGTATGATGATTTTATATCATATCAACCAATCCCCATACACTTTTATTTGAATAATGTTTAATTGATTTTTCTCTCACGTTTTAACAATAAAGCTACTATGGTGCAGGGAATTATATATGTTGCAACCCTCCTATAAATCTACAGGTCATTGATATTTAATTGCTTGTTATATTATGTATATTTTTCGAAGACTAAAAAATATTCTTGCCAAAAACAGGGTTATGTGCTCGGCAATCCGATAACACATATTGAATTTGAACAAAACTTTCGCATTCCATATGCTCATGGAATGTCATTAATCTCTGATGAACTCTACAAGGTATGAAATCATTAACACATATTGAGAGTTTTTATTTTATGATTCGAGTCTCGGCCTGACTTAAATCCTCTCTTATAATTTTATCTTTTACTAACCGGATCTAACCATACCATTTTTCAAAGCCTCAAATGATATAACAATGTTCAAAACTCTGTTTCTTTCAGTCAATGAAGAGAATCTGCAAGGGAAATTATTTCAATGTGGATCCACGTAACACAGAATGTTTGAAGCTTGTTGAAGAATACCATATGGTACACACTGGAAATTTGTCAATTTGTTTTCTTTTTTGCTTGGTTAATTAATATAATCACTTACAGATTTTTTTCCCTTGGTAATTTTCTCTTGATATAATCACTAACTCAGATTTTTTTATTTTTACTTTACAAGTGTACTGACAAAATAAATAGCCATCATACATTAATAGCAGATTGTGATGACTCAAACACAATCCACATATCTCCTGATTGCTATGTAAGTAAATTTTCTACAATCTTTTTAGTTATGAAAACTAAGAATCAGATTAAAATAGAGGAATCAATATGGACAATTATGAGTTGACATACGTTTATTTCGATAAATAGTTCACCAAATTTTTTAATATTTATGATATCTTAAAGAAACATATTTACAAGGTTGCTTTTGCAGTATTATCCGTATCATCTCGTTGAATGTTGGGCCAATACCGATAGCGTTCGCAAAGCTCTTCATGTTATTAATGTAAAAACCAACTTTATTTTAAGAGTATTGATAAAGCGTGAAACTATTATAGAACATTTTTATAGAACCTAAATTATTAACTATATATTATTATACAGGCGAGCATAGGAGAATGGATACGAGATAATCGTGGTATTCCATACAATCGCGACATTATGAGCAGTGTACCATACCATATGAATAACAGCATTAATGGCTACCGATCTCTTATCTTCAGGTTAGAGTTAAATTTACTTTTAAAATACTGATCTTGTTCCTAGGGGTGCGAAAAAAAATCCATAACCAGAGAGAGATCGGACCAAACCGAATACAATGAAACCAAAATATTGTTAAAAAACCATAAAACAAAGACGCAAACAGATTTTAGTGTACCCAAACTAAACTAAACCGAATGAACCAAATTTTATTAAAATTTAATATTTTTCTAAGTTATAGGCACATTCATATTACGTAAATAATTTTTTTTTACTAAAAACCATATGTATATTTTAGATGACTTTTCTAAGTACAATCAAACCAAATCAAAACTGAAAAACCAACCCGAAGTTGAATCAAACCGAACCGAAACAAATTCAAATTATAAATGGTTTTTTGTGTTTTAGTTTCTATCAAATTACCGTAAAACCTCTATAAATTAATAAAATTGGGACCAATGTATTTTACTAAATTTTATTAATTTATAGATGTTTCATTTGTGCGGTTTATGGTGAGCAGTGGTGATCATGACATAACAATGCCTTTCCAAGCAACTCAGGCCTGGATAAATCTCTAAATTACTCCATCACTGATGACTGGAGGCCTTGGATGATAAAAGATCAAATCGCTGGGTAATATATATACAATTTTTGTTTTAGATCTCTCTTGTTCATTTTCTAGACGTATCAAAAACCTCTCAAACTCACGTAAGAATCATTCTTGCCTTTTTCTTGACAGATACACGAGAACTTTTTCCAATAAGATGACATTTGCTACAGTCAAAGCAAGTCTTCTTAATTGTTTCATCTTAACATTTTTATTTTTATTGCATTTCCATTTGAAAAATCTATTGTAATTTTAATTTTTTTGGGGGCGTTTTGATTATAGGGAGGTGGACACACGGCAGAATATCTACCAAACGAGAGTTCTATCATGTTCCAAAGGTGGCTCAGTGGCCAGCCTTTGTAATAGAGGCTCATCATGACTTTTGTCCTTTTGTCTCCTTGTCATAACCTTGTCGGTCACCGCGTGATAATAAATAAGTTTGCAGAGAAGTTTTTGTTAATGAACTTTTATGCATGATAATATATCATACTTGAATTTGAATCATTCTATTTGAGTTAAAGAACTCGACCCTATGTTAAGTTTCATGGGTTTCAAACATAATTCATTAAAGATTAGTGGATTAGTCCATGTAAAAGGTAGAGAGACATACTTCGATATATCATAACTTTGTGTCTCTGTCTTCCGTACCACCACAAGACTGGTCGTTCTTGGGCTTAAGAGCCCCAAAATCATAAGGGATAGGGAAAAGGTAGCCTATCATATCAAAAGGGCAATCCATTCTTAGAATATGTGTTTCATGTCAATAGGTTAAGTTATGGGTTCGTCGTTTTGTTTTGAATCCGTAAAAAATAGAACGTTGTAAGTTGTAACGTTGGTTAACGCAGCCTGAGAAGTTTTTGACCCCTTTACCTATTTTGGGTGAGCTGATAGTAATTTGAAGAAGAAAATGAAGAAATAGAGACCATAAAAATGAGAACATGTGGAATCTTTTGGTGAAAAATGTATTGAGGATGATACTTTGTAATTTGGGCCTGGTCCGGCCCATACTTAACAGCATGAAAAGTAAATCGTGCAAAAAGAATCGAATTATCAGAGCCAGGTTTCGATCCTGGGACCTGTGGGTTATGGGCCCACCACGCTTCCGCTGCGCCACTCTGATTTTCTTGAATAAATCAGCACTTGCTTATATTTATAAGTTAATATACCACAATCATTCTTAGCTAAACGCTTTTTCTTTTCCGAAACCCTTTATAAAGGAACCCTATTTTACCATCACCTTTTTTTTTTTTTTTTTCTTCTGAATGATTCCATATATTCAATAACAAAAGGTCACATACAAAAAGAAACGAATGCAATCAAACAACAAAAACTCATTACACAGTAGTAATGCATTTATCATTTTCAAACACTTTCTGAAGCCAAAAGGGGTAGCTACTTGCTACGTATGATTGTAAACGTTCCTCTTTAGTGACACTCCTAGCAATCAAGACAGCTCCGAGATTACCTTTCCGATCTTCATGAACCACTCTCCAAGCTGGTAGAAAGGATAAGGCGAGAAGGAGACATTCTGAGTGAGATTTGAAGTTAGGCCAAGCTGCAGGACGAAGGACAGCACCTGCCAACTCAATCGGCTCAAAAGCAAAAATCACTCTATGAATATGAAGATCATGCATGGCCTTGATAGCCCAAATACAACCTTGGAGTTCGGCTTCACCCTTCGAGGAAATAGATGGTAAAGCAGCCCTACTGAGGAGAAGAACAATACCTTCAGAATTTCGCAAAACCCAGGTCACACCACAAATATTTTTCTCCTTACTCCAAGAGGAAGCCACATTGCATTTTAACCAAGGCTTTGGAGGAGGCCTCCACTTATGATTGTAATCTTGAGTTTGGGCAATAGAGAGGACAGAATCTTGAGACTCCAAAACCTGAGCTTGAAACCACTCCTCAGAATCTTCCTTGAATCTTAATAGGATATCTTTTGGTGTGGAAGCCAAACCTTCAAAGAAAATGCTATTTCTGTTCTTCCACAAAGACCAAAGAATCCAAAGAGGTGATCTTCTTACTTCAATAGGGACTCTGGAATTCTTACACATTAAAATCACATGGAACAGATTCTGATAAATAGAACGAGGATCAAAACCATCCTTTGGTAGAGGCAGACCAGAAAGAGCCCAAATCTGTCTTGAAAAGGAACAAGTGAAGAGCACATGATTTATTGATTCCCCTTCATGACCACAAATATGGCAGCGTTGGTCCACCGTCATTCCCCTAGTGCTCAGCCGTTCCGCCACAGGTAAAGCTCCACTAATTGCTTTCCAAATGAAGATCTTGATTTTTGATGGAGCAAGTAGCTTCCAGATTTGCTCTTTAATCCCATTCAAGGATGGAAGCATGGATGTCTGACGAATAGCCTCTTCATTTTGCTCTTGGGACGCCAACCAATAACCAGACTTAACACTGTAAACACCACTTTTATTGTGCCTCCAACATTTGAAGTCAGGAGAAGAGAGAACAGGTTTGGTCTTTTTAATAATCTCAATATCTCTAGGAAAGAAATGATCATTAAGGATTGAGAGATCCCAGTCCCTAGTCTCCAAATTAATGAGCTCCCTTACAGATAACTCCAAATCCACCAGAATGTTCTTCATGAAGGGAGCTCTCATACGGCTGCCATCCTCTAACCACAATGTTGTCCAAACCAAAAGAGAGTTACCATCACCAACCTTCTGAATTAAACCTTTTTCAAGTAAATCCCTTCCATGCATAACACTTCTCCAACCAAAAGACGGTCGTGAACCCATGGTAGCCTCAAGAAAAGAAGAGTCAGAGAAGTACCTGCTCTTCAAGAAACGGCCTAAGAGACAATCAGGAGCTTGATTGAAGAGCTCTATATCTTTAAAACCCAACCCTCCTAAGCTTTTTGGCAAACAAAGTTTCTCCCAAGCAACCCAACTGATCTTTCTATGATTCTCCATAGTGCTCCACCAAAAAGAAGACATAGCGCTTGATAAGGACTCACAAGTGGCCTTAGGTAATTTAAAGCACGACATGGCATAGACCGGCATCGCCATTGCCACAGTCTTCAAGAGAATCTCTTTTCCACCTTGAGAGAGAGTCTTAGCAAACCAACCGGAGAGTCTGTTCTTAAGCTTCACATGAATGTACTCCAACATCTCCTTTTTAGAGCCACTAAAACATTCTGGTAATCCCAAGTAGGTACCAGCACCTCCCTCTTTTTCCATTCCCACTTTACTCTTCACCAAAGCCCTTAGATTCTCCTCAACCTTGTCGCCAAAAGTAATTGAGGACTTATCAAGATTGATGGTCTGCCCAGTAGCAGTTCCATAGATAGTCAAAATGTTTTGCAGGGCACCACTTTGATCCTCATCAGCTTTACACACAAACAAGCTGTCATCGGCAAAGAGCAAGTGATTTATTGCAGGACCATCCGGGGAAAACTTCATTCCAGAAATCGTGCCTTGTAATTCAGCCTTGTTCAAAAGATGAGTGAGACCCTCCGTACATAAGACAAACAGAAAGGGAGAGAGTGGATCTCCCTGTCTTAAACCTCTCTGAGGCACAACCAAACCATGTGGGCTACCATTGACCAGGACCGTGTATGTCACAGAAGTTACACAACTCATAATCAAGTCAACCCATCTTAATTCAAAACCTAGAGCAAGTAGAAGGTGACGCAAGTAGCTCCACTCCACACGATCGAAAGCTTTAGAAAGATCAGTTTTTATTGCCATATACTCTTTAGACATAGAACCATGAGTTCTGAGAGCATGGACTACTTCGTGAGCTATAAGTATATTGTCAGAAATCAGGCGGTCTTCCACAAAGGCAGATTGTGTAGGAGAAACAAGATCAGCGAGTATCAGCTTTAATCTTGAAACCAATATCTTGGAAATAACCTTATACATCACAGAGCACAGGCTAATAGGCCGCAGGTCGGCCATGACTCTGGAATCTGTCTTCTTGGGAATAAGACAAATCTGAGTAAAGTTCCATTCTTTATCAAAAACACCTTCATTGAAGAATCTGAGAACTTCCAAAGTGAGCTGGTTCCCAACAATATCCTAGTATTGTTGAAAAAAGAGTCCTGTCATGCCGTCTGCACCAGGAGCACTAGAAGATTTGATAGCAAACACAGCAGTCTTAACTTCTTCCTTTGACACATCAGCCAGCAACAAAAGATTCATCTCCTCAGAGACTCTCGGGTGGAAATCCTCAAATAGATCCTGAGGATTAGATGGGTATGAAGAGTAGAATAAGGACTGAAAGTAAGAGACAGCCACATCTCCAATAGAAGCATCAGACCTATGAGTGATACCAAGATCATCAACAAGCCTGTCCAATCCATTCCTAGTTCTGTCAGCCTTGACCGAAGCGTGGAAGTATTTGGTGTTCTTATCACCTGAATTCATCCATTTCTTCCTACATTTCTGTTTCCAAAAGCTTTCCTCATCTCTGTGAGCTCGAACCAAGTCTTTATGCAGCCAATCCATTCTACGAAAAGATGGAAATTGACTAGCATGTTCAACCTCAATATCCAACTGGATCCGATTGATTCTCTCTTTAGAATTGATCTCATTGGCCCGTTTCCATTTGCTTAAAGATTTTCGACATCTTCTCAAACTCTCAGAGACAGACTGTCCAAAAGAAGAAGAAGATGCACCCCAAGCAGATTTAATAGATTCAAGAACAAGAGGCTGGTGCAACAATCTTTTATCAAACCTGAAAGAACCACGATAAGAATCCTGAGAAGAAAGTAAATGAACCAAAACAGGACGATGATCCGATCCTTTCTTTTCCAAAAACAACTGGTTGGCTGCCGGAAAAGTCTTGAACCAATCCTTATTCCCAAAAGCTCTGTCAAGTTTACACTGAATCCACAGATCGTTCCTTCGACCTCCCCAAGTGAAACTGTTACCAGATCCAGGAAGTTCAGACATAACACACGCAGCCAGCATATTAGCAAAATCTTCAAAGGACCTTTCACTTCTTCTAGGACCTCCTAACTCTCACCATTGTGAAGAATCTCATTGAAGTCCCCTAACATGCACCAAGAATCTTTCCTTAGGAGACCAATCCTAGAAACTTTTTCCCAAACCACGTGTCTGAGCTCACTTCTTGGATTACCATATATACAAGAGAGATAGAATTTAAAATTCCCAAAAACAACCGCCATATCTAAGACATTCTTATCAGCAGAAAGGAAGTCTATAGAGATGCTCTTCTTCCAAAACAAAGCCAGCCCTCCACATCTTCCAACAGGATCCACTGTGAATACCTTTTCATATCCTAACCAAACTTGAATATCTACAAGAACGTTCCTTATGTTCATCGTCTCCATCAAGAACAATATCTCAGGGAAATGTTTTTTACGCATTTCCATGAGACGATGAACTGTCAAGTCTTGAGGCCGCCCCAATCCCTGACAGTTCCAACACATGATGCTCATTAGATGGTGGACAGTCCCTCATTTGGGACTACCTTAGGTTTTTTGCGCCTCGCGACTTTTTGACCATCCTCATTGACCATTATCCCTTTTCTTTTTTCCAACGCACCTTCAGCTAAGCCTTCTTTCTTAGAAACAGTGAGACTCTTTGCTTTTGACCCTACACCTTTCAGTCCTCTTTTAGAGATATAGGGTCTTCTTCTTCTGTTATTGGTAGTTCTCTGATTAGTCCCGGATGTACCTGCTGCAAAAGAGCCAGGCACATATTCCGTTGAACTAGGCAGAGAAGAGAAAGAGTCTTCAGAGTAGTCAACCAAGGTCGGTCTCCAATAATCATCTCCACAGGCAGAAGACTTCCTCAAGTTATCTCCAGGCCTCGAAGAAATTCTAGAATTGTCTGCTACAAGGACCAGACCAGAACCACCATCTCTAAGGCCAGAAGAAGAATCAACAGAATCATAGCCAAACACAATTCCTTTTCCTTTATTGAGATCAGAGGACACAGGAGGAGCTGGTTCAAGACGCAAAACAGTTTTTTGGGCTAGAGGATCCTTCTCAGCCTCAGCCACCGATTTAATCACCCTTAGTTCTCTAATCTTTCGCTCTTCACCATCCACAACCAGCAAATACTGACGCATACCTTCCAAGACTTCAGGATCAATCCTAGGACGTCCTAAAATTGGATGTATTCCAACTTGCTCCTCTCGAAGAATCCCAAACAGAGGATCATTCTCTTTAATCACTAGCGGGGGAGGTAGCTTTACCACTTTCTTGCCCATCCTTCTATCCAAAGTCTGATCTTGTCTTTCACGAATCAAAAGAGGACAAAGATCTTTCTCATGAGTGAGTCTCTGACAATTATAACACCGTTTTTGTATTCTTTCATAGTAATACCAAACCGTAGTCGATTTGCCCTTTGGCAGATTAATAACCTTGGACTTCCGCAGAGGCCTCGAGACATCAAACTTGATCTTGACCCGCACAAATCCCTGACTAATCGGTTGCTCAGGATCAAAAACAACTTCTGTGACCTGTCCCACTAGTTCTCCTAGAAGCATAATGGAGTCTTTCGTATAATGATTAATCGGGATATTCCTGATTTGAACCCATACCGGAATGAATTGCAGGGAATCAGGAGCAGGATCTTCAGTCCATCTCTCTAAAGCAATCGCCCATTCATTGAATGTGTGGACTCCTTTCTCCAAAATTTCAACCAAATCGTGCTCAGTTCGAAAGATGAACTGGAACCTCTCGTTAGAAAGCGCGATACCACGAATCCTGTCACTCTTCTGCCATTTCCTTGGCATATTCAGGATTAAATTAGACATACTCTGGTGCTCTGGGTTCAATAAACGACCAACCAAACTGAGAGAATTCTTTTCACAAGAGCGATATTGTGGGAGATCAGGCATCTCAAAAGGAAGATCTTCCTCATCCAGCGACAGAGCCATAAGAGCTTTATCCATTGCGGCCGACATGACTGCAAACAACCAAAGAACAAAGCAGTAACAACAACCAGCCGAATCCAACCAGACGAAACCAACACAAACAACCACACTAGACACCGCCAACCCGAGTCGACAATTACCCAAACCCACGGAGAGCTTCGAACACTAACAATCTTCCAGAACCGAAATAGAAGCAAATTGATTAACGCAGCAACCACCAGACGAAACAAACACTAACAGTCAAACCAACCACAAACCAACCGTAGCCGACAAAAGCACAAGACCTCTGCAAACTTCGAACACTAACAATCTTCCAGAAACGAAAGAGAAGAAAAATGAGCAGTAATTGGGGAAGAACAGACGGCTGAAACCCTAGAAATGAAG